AGGTGGTTTTGCTCTGCCCGTGACAGTTCCGGGGTACAAAACGGTCAGAATGGGGCTCCTGAAGGAAACCACTGAGGAGACAAGTACTTTGTTTATGAGCCGTAAAAAGCGGTCTTACCTGATTCTTCTGTTTCTTTCATCTCTGATGGATCTTCTATTTCTTCATCAGACATTTCCATTTCCTCCTCTCTTCGAATACCCATCAGTTCATCGTTATGAATGTTACGAATTTCCTAAGGTTCAGAAAGTAGAGGGGGGTTTAAATACAGATTACAAGGAACAGATTGTTCGGATAAAAAGATGCTGAACTCTAAGCCTGCAAAATGCCTCTCCATGACACAAGAAAAGGGAAACCATTAAAAAAAAAAAATAATAATTGGCAGAGGCTGTTAGACAAAGGACAATAGCATCAGTCAACCTGTCAGCGCTACTGGTGCGGCTGACTCCCATCTCCCTCCTCCTCCTTGCCCCTGGGCAGGCACTTCGCCTCACCGGCAGCGCCGGATCTGGGCGAACCCTCTCCCCGCCCGAGGCCCGCACACCTCCCCTGCGCTCAGCGCTGCCCAACCTCGTACCCTCCGCCGGGGCCCCACCTCGTGCCTCCTGGCTCGCCGCACACACCCAGACCAGCAACTCCCCGCTGCCGCCAAGGGCCACCCCTGCTCTCCCCTGCCCCGCACGCCCGAGTCGTGAATAGCCACGAAGATGTCATTAGACAGGCGGAAACCTGTGCCTTTGTGTGCAGGAATGACTGACAAAGGTGTCCGGGGGTGGGCTGGCTTTGTGCTGAAATACCCCGGGCCCGAACAAAGCAGTGTCTCCTCTCCAAGCCTTGAGAGTTTCGAGAGTCTTTATTGCAGGTAACGCAAGCACACGTCCACCAGGAGCAGCCAAGAGGGAAAACGACCGTGCTTTCACCTTGGATGAACGGACACCCTGGGGACAGCGATGGGGAACAGGCAAGAAGGCGGCAGATCCAAGCACGATGGGCAGCACTGGCCGCACTTCCGAAGCGACGGCTGCCTGACCCAGAGACCACCCGTGAGATGGCAGAGCTGGGTGGGAGATCAGAGGAAAATCCTCCCGTCGCCTTTCACTGACGCCGCTCACCAGCCCGAAGCGGCCTGGGCCCAGCGGGGAGCCCTGGGCTGGAGAGGAGAAGCCAAATACTGGAGCGAGGCCCTTCCTAAGCAAGGGAACACCACCCTTGGCTACGTTAGCACGGCGGTTCCCCGGGTCTCAAGCTCCCGTGGCTACTTGCTGGGCTGCCTGCAGCCATGGGACCTGCTGGCACTGCCTGGGAAAACCACGCGAAGGCACCAGCGATGAAAAGAGAACGCTGGCCTCGCCTAACGGCTCCCCAACACATACCTATTCCCCGAGCCGCCCACCAGGCTCTCCTCCGATGCGGTGATCCACAGGATTCAGTGCTGCCAAAAGCCGTACCAAGAAGATGCATCTGGTGGGTCCACCTTCCCCTAAGGGAAGGCCCTAAGCTGGGGGAGACCGGCAGGCTGAGCCCAGCAGCAAGTGCTCCTGGAAGAGGCCTCACCAGTGCTCTCACGGCCTCTTCCCACCGGGAGAACTTACCTTGGAACAAAAGACAGCTCCCAACGGAGAGCGCGCTCCCACCCCAGTCACGGCAAGCAATCCCAGTAAGTGGGAACGAACAGGAGCACTAGGGCTCCAAGGAGAGGCACGCTCCGAATCGCTCCGAATCACTCCCCACTGGGCTGCTCAGGTACGGAACGGAACGTTAGCGCCTCCACCAGCTGGGTCCTGCTACTCTGAAGCAGCCAGTGGCAAACACCGACTCAAGCTCTGCCCCTCTTTAAAGGCTAAATGAGCAAGAAAAACACAATTTCTTGCTCTTCAAAACTACCCATATCGCAGGGAGACAACACTGCTGCTACCCCTCCGAGCACTAACCCTTCTAGGGGAAGGACACAGAAGCGAGGCTCCAAGGGGGACGAGCCCTGACTCGGAGACCCACCACGGGGCTCTCCCACCTCCTCAGCAGCCCTCCGCGCTCCCCGGAGCACAGCTATCTTCCCGCTTCTTCCTCAGGCCCAGCAAGCGTCAAGATGGGCCCCACTGCCAGATGCAGCCAAGCAAGGTGACATCCCTGCTACGCAGGCGAGAGGAGGCAGCAAGCGTTTCATCACAGACTCCAGGACAAACACCTCCCAAACCCAGCACTTCCCCAGGAGGCAGCCTTTCTCTACCTTAGCCTTGGTTTTTTGGACACTGTGCCTGACTCCAGTAAGATTTGACAAGACCAGAGAAGGGACTGAGACTATTCTTCCTCTTGCAGGAAGAGCAGTTTGAGCCACACGCCTTCCTCCATCAGCCCCCAGCCTTGTCGCCCCCTTTAAAGCCTGCGTGTCACTAGCAATGTCGCTGCACGGGACGAACACACAAACACGAGCGCATCCTCCCTCAAGTTCTCCAGACTGCCCAGCTGCAATTATTTCCACCTCTCAAGTCTGTCAATAGAAGTGTGATAAAACAGATCTCTGACGACGCTTAGGGTTTGTTGGGTTTGGATTTTTCAACACCTCTTTAGAAATCCCCCTGGCTTTAACTTTAAAACCAGCAGAAAACAGATCAATCATCGTCTTTGTGCACAGCTTCCATCAGCAGACGGACCTCAGCGTATTGCTACCAGTAACACAAATACCAAGAGAAAATGTATTACCTGTAACAAAGAGACGACTGAGTAATTCCCACCTTACACAGAACTAAGGCGGCGTTACCCACGCGAGCACTGCGCAAACGCAACATCAACATCCTGACAAGAAAGAGACCGTGCTGGAGGATCTAACACAATAAAAAGTTACCAACCTCTGCTTGTTTGCACCACACGCTGATGTTCTTACGCTGAGCTTTCGTGAAATGGTCCCAAGCCTTTTGTTTGGAGGCAGAATGGTACACGGCCACTATCTGCTCGACTGCAGTATCAAATCAGCAGGCAAATCAGGCCAGAATATCATCCAGAGAGGGCGAACAAGAGGAGTAAAGGAGTAAAAAAGTGGAATCAGGCAGGTGGTTTGGCTAACCTTTTCTTATAACACTGTACTGTGCTGAAGCTACGCTCAGGAAAGGGACGCTGCGCCTGGAAGGAAAAGCGGGGGCTTCGCCAGGCCAGCGCCAAGGGCTCACAGAGTAACGACCAACGGGGAGAGCGGCACCCGCTCGCCACGGGGAGAAGGGCAGGCACACCTGGGCCGAAAAAC